ACAATTTTTCTTTTGAAGCGTCTGATTGATCTTGATTGTTGAACATTATTTTCAACAGCTAAGACACATAAATGCTGTTGAGCACTAATCTATGAAGAAAATCAACATCAAAAATAAAATTCTATGATTAACTGCAGAATATCACTTTGTTACTGATTTCAGTAAATAGTTGTGATAACAAAACGTCTCTTACAGTTTATCTGCTTCAGTAAAGCTCCTGTCCAAACAGGTTGTTAAACAAGTTTTTTAAAAGAAACCTAGAGGAAGCAGACAATCAAATATTAGTGTAAACCCGGTCTAAACGCAATCTTGCTTTCCCATAAAGCTTCGACATCAAGTGCTTCGGATAAACTGTCATTGTGAAATTGCCATACTTTCTAGCTCCTTGTATCCTTGACATTATACTTGGGTACCTTTTTCCGAAGTTGTCCTTGAGAGAACGATAATGTCTGTGAAGAAGAGAAAAATTCTGGCATTTTGTAGTCAAATTTGTAAGGACAAAACCTTATAATAGCTTTATCTGGTGGCACGCTAATTAGCGTATACTTAGATCCAGGAAAGTACATCTTTACATGGTGAACCCACATCAGTAGTACCTGAAAAAAGTAACTGAAGCACCCCTCACTTGAACAAAAGACTTACATGTCGAGGATCTATTATACATTTGGGAATATGATTACTAGGAGCTACAGCTGACGTGTTGTGAAACACAAGAGTAGGTAAATGCTTTTTCAATGTAATTTCCCCCTAAAATTGTATCATTGTTGGATACAATAATCTTACTCATCAAGCATGCATGCCATATATTTATCTGGTGGGCTTGTTGTTCGTAGCACATATCTGGTTCGAAATTGGAGCGCGCCTACATTTGGCTTCTCAGTCATTGCTTTTCTCAAAACCATAGTTTGTAATGACAAATGCAAATGGTACAAATACATAACTTCTGCACAATACCTACAAAACATATTCTTCAAGAGTTTGATCATTCAAAGCCATCATTCTTTCGTCTAAATCTACAAACATAGCATAGCGAGAGTGATGTCGACTCCTTTGAAGGCAGTCCTCAAAAGTTTTGATTTGAATTGCAAAACTTGCAAATTAAGCAAAAGCACCTGCACGCCAACCATTTGCCAGTGATATCCAAGTCTATCTTGCTGTTTTCTAAAGTATACCACTTCAATTTCGCCGCTTTTTTCGTAATCATCAAAGATCTAAATATGCTCAATCGTTATTTCAAAAAAAGTTTTGACTCACTATGCGAGAGTACTCGTCAATATCTTTTACATATATGTACATATGCTGCACACCCTGCAGTTTGTAATGTTCAATTAGCTCTGTCAGCATCAACCACTTGCTTTCATTACCATACATTGGTGCAAGGCACACTGACAAGTTGTACTTTGGTTCTGTATGTGCGGATATTTGAGCAATAGTAAGTGAGCGCTTTTCAAAACTTACCGTCAATTGTTCTATCGGACACCGGTACTGTGAAGGTCACTTCATCGTCATTCTTTTCGGTTATTCCCATATACGCCGCTCTAGGATGCCTACAGCAATGTACAGCAAATTCGGGAAAAACTACTGATTCAACAATAGTGTCAAGCGTGTTCCAATGTGC